GAGGGCATGAGGTTTTCAGAATGTGGCTCTTGCCCCAGCACCGCGCACATTCGATTCGAAATCGATGTTAAAAGTTTCAAAGGTTGAGGGCGGTTCGTTTTCACAACGTGAGCGAGAACGCGATCCACCGCCGCTTTACTATGGAAAATTCCCCCCCTCTTCCTCCTGAACCCGGAGGTCCCCCCCCCCTTTCGAAACTCCCCCTCGCTGCCCTCCCCCTCCTCCGGAAAACCGGGGCGGGGGTCACTACCGGTTCGAACCCCCCCTCCCCCCCCTGCAGAAAACCCGAGGGGGGTCACTACTGGTTCGAACAGTACCGGTTCGACCCCCCCCCTCGAAAACCGAGCGGGTCACTACCGGTTCGAACCCCCCCCCCTCAGGCCCACTACTCGCCGCTGGCAAACGACTCCCGGGTCCTCACTTCCGTCCGCACCACATCCCCCACTGCTGTCCCCAGCACCACTCTCCCCACCACCACTGTCCCCACTGTTCCAACCATCGTCCCCACTGTCCCCACTGCCCACTATCGCACTGTCCCCACTGTCCCCACCACTCTCCCACTGTGACCCCACCATTGTTCCCGCTGTCCCCACGGGTGCCCCCACCAGTGTCTCACTGTCCCCACTCTCCCCACCATTGTCCCACCACGGTCCCACTCTCCTCACTCTCCCCACTTTCCCCACGGTCCCCACCACTGTCCCACCGTCCCCACTGTTCCCACGTCTGTCCCACTGTCTCCACTGTGCCCGCCGCTGTCCCACTGTGCTGTCCCACTGTCCCCACTGTCCTAGTGTCCCCACTGTCCCCACCACTCTCCCCACTGTACAACTGTCCCACCACCGTCCTCATTACCGCCTTCACCACTGTCCCCACCCCACCACTACGGTCCACCACTGTCCCACCGTCCCCACCACTGTCCCGCTGTCCCTTCACCACTGTCCAACCACCACCGTCCCCACCACTGTCCGCGCCACTGTCCCAGTGTTCCCACACCACTGTCCCCACCACTACCTTTCCCACCCTTCCCCACCACTGTCCCAGGAGCGGGAATCGTTTGCCGGCGGCGAAGGGGGGGTGGAGGGGGGGGGTTCGAACCGGTAGTGAACCCACCCCCAGTTTTAAAGGGGGGGGGGTTCGAACTGGTAGTGACACCCCCGCTTTTCATGGACTGGGGGCGGGGAGTTCGAACCGGTAGTGACCCCCCCACGGTTTTCGAAGGGGGGGAGGGACGGGTTGGGAACCCCCAGTGACACCCCCCGGTTTTCCGCCAGCAGCGGTAGAACACGCTCTTTCAAATGTTGTTATCGCCTCAGCGCCGCGCACATCTGGTTTAAAATATGTGAAGAATTTCGAGGATTGAGGGCGGCTCCGTTTCAACATGTGGCTCTTGTGGCCCTCGCACTAGCGCCGCACACATTACTTTAACCAAATTGCAAGAGTTTCACTGGCTCTCATGGCCAGCGTACCAGGAATGAAGTTTTGGAACAGTTCAGGATTGTCAGCGCGCAACAATTACGTTGACTCGCGGTGTAGAATTCCCAGGAACGGTGTTTTGGTACGGTTCAGGACCGTCAAGACGCAAGAGTCAGGTTGACCCGGGGCGATTACGGTATTTTGGCACGCTTCAGGATCTTCCAACCTTTGTCTCCCAACGGGGCACTCCCCTCAGTGGAAATGAATCGTTATAGGGGCCTATGAAGAGGGAGCTTGGAGGGAAGATATTTTCCAGCAATGTTGATGAGTCTTGGGTTTACACTGGTCCCCACTCCTCCTCCTCCTCCTCCTCCTCCTCCTCCTCGTCCTCCTCCTCTGCTCTTTCTCCTCCTCCTCCTCCTCCTCCTACTCCTCCTCCTCTGCTCTTTCTCCTCCTCCTCCTCCTCCTCCTCCTCCTACTACTACTCCTCCTCTCATCCTCCTCGTCTTCTTCCTCCTCCTCCTCCTCCTCTTCCTCCTCCTCCTCCTCCTCCTCCTTCTCCTCCTGGGATGGGCGCACGAGACGGTCAGACCTGGGCACGATTCCCAGACTTCCCTTGCGTACTGCGCCGTGGCACAGAACATGCGACGCAAAGTTTTTCGCGACGTTCGGCCTCCGTGGGCACTGAACGGGCCTCCCCTGAGCCTGGACACAACCTCCAGATTTTGGGAGGACTCGCTCGGGAACAACACCCGATGCCCGCTCGTCCGTTCTGCTCCGTTCGTTCGTTCTTCCCCCAGTTCCAGGATGATCAACAACACCCTCAGAAGGAATAGTACCGACACCACTACTCCCCGAACGTCTTCTGGGTGCGTTCTGACCAGATTTCCGAGTGAGCCCAGCCGCGGCGAAGAGGGCCTCCCAGGACGGTTCGAGAAGACGAACACCAGGCAGGGGTAGCAGTATCGGTACCTTTCCTCCTCTGCTTAGCGATCGTCCTAAGAAATCACCACAAGAGCCCCAGACCGCATTTGGCGGCAAAGACGTGGGCGTCCAAGTGGGGGGGGCCCAAATCATGGCCGGCGGCATGTGCGCGGCCCAGGGGGCCAGGGACGCATTGAAACAAGAAGAGGCGCCATTCAATATGTGGAGATATCATGGCCCCCGCCATGATAATTATCCACCCCCCTCTAGACATCACCCCCCTCTTGGCCCCCCTGATTTCTGCAGCACTTCTCGGGCCGCATCGATCTGTGATTGGCTCGGGGGTCAGCAAATCGTGGCCCGAGGCACGTGCGCGGCCCAGGGAAGGCCAGGGGACGCATCGAACGAGAAGGAGGACCTGATAAGTGTGGGGGACCCTCGAATCTGGAGTCATGCTGTTCCCATCTACTTGAAGACTAAATCCCAGAAGTCGTTTCGAGCACCCAGCCTCCCAGGGCACGACACGTGAACACGCTCCAATTTGGGTACCTCCCTGGTGCTCGAAGTTCTTCCTGGCAGCATGACTGAAGTAGGTTGGAACATCAAAATCTGGAAGATAACACGGCCGTGGCCATGATATCCCCCCCCCCGGGTCAGCACACCCTCTGGGCCGGCCCCGATGACGTCGCCCCCGAACCCGCCGCCCCGCCGACGCCGCCGACACCCACGCCGCCGCCGCCGACGCCGACGCCGACGACGCCGCCGACAACGACGCCGACGCCGACGCCGACGCCGACGACGCCGCCAACGCCGACGCCGACGCCGCCGACGCCGACGCCGCCGCCGCCGCCGACAACGACGCCGCCGCCGCCGCCGCCGACGCCGCCGCGCCTGGACGAGCGCCGCGTGCGGGGCGACGAGTCGTCCTCGGAGAGCTCGTCCTGTGGGAGGCCGCCCGCCGCCGCTCGGCGCGGCGCCCCCCCCCCCCCATGCTGGCGCCGCCGCCGCGGCCGCCGACGCCGACGCCGCTGTTGGGGGCCCATAGCCGAGCTGTCCGGGGTCAGGTCGGGCACGTCGCCCTGCAGGCGGATTTGGACGAGGAGTAAAACATACGCAAAACATGCCAAATCATAGGCAAAAAGAATGGAAAAAAATCGGCCTCGTACTATCTCTCGCGTCCCTCCTGCAGTGGGACACGCCCGACGTAAGTCTAGGGGAACGAACAATGACACAAACAAAACATGTCGGAGGTCCGGGCGGCTATCTCGGATCGGCGCTGGGCCCCCCTGGCGGCGCCTCTGGCGCCGCCCCTGGCGCGCTCCGCGCGCCACGGAGGGGCGTCCAGCGCGGATCCGAGAAATCCGCGCGGACCTCCGGCTTTGTATGTTTATGTTATATCTTTCGTTCCTCTGCTATCGGCGATGCATCGCCGATTCTAGCTCGACGCTCTGCCTCCCCCTCCCTGAGCTGGCCCCCCCCCCCCGGCGTTCCCCGTCAGAGATTCGGGACGCAAAGCCGGTGCCCCGGAGTGGGTCGAGACTTTTGGGGGTCGACGTTAGGAAAAACTCATGACGTCGTGGTTCTGGGATTGTCCGCCTCTGCGGCCTCGCGGACCGGGCCCCTGGGCCGCGACCCCGCGGAACGTCTCCGTGCGACCGCGTATCCGTTGGGATCGTGCCAGCAGGTCCGCCTGGATCTCCGAAAGGCGTCGGGTGGGCCCTCCCGGCTGCGGCTCCGGCGCGCCCCTGGCACGAGCCGCGCGCCAAGGAGGAGGGGTCCAGCAGCGCAGATCCAAGAAACCCACACGGACATAAGAAAGATTAGGCTATGCAAGACATGCTCATGAGAAATCGAAATCGTACCAAGAACATGGGCCCCTCCGCTGAAATCCTACAGAGACATGAAGGTATCCCACACGAAGAGCACTCCAAGATGCCAAAGCACCAAGAAAAGAAGGTTAATCCCTCCAAAGCTAGGGTTGCTCTTACACCTCGTGCCAGCCATACACGCTTTCGGCCACTGGAGGCCGTCTCCTGGCCCCCCAGGCCGTAGAAACGACTCAGGACGAACGGCCCATCCCGGCGAAGGTGTCGAGATCCAGTGGAGGGGGCCGACGTCACGTGCAAACGCAGGAACGTCGAAGAGAAGGGCTCGGGGAAGCGCTGACCTGGGCCAGCTCTTACCCAGGTCAGCTCACCTAGGGCCAAGACGCGAACCTGGTCCCCAGCCATGGAATAACTCCCAGCACACCATAGACCGCCCGCATGAGGCCCACTCACATAGGGACAACCGAGAGAAACTGCCAGCGCGGATCAATGCTGCAATTCTGCCTTGCTTCTTCTCATCCTTCCCCTGTCCGAGGTTGCTTCCCAGAGGTGATCCTGGCCTGAGGTCGGGCATGTCCCCCTTCAGACTGATTTTGGTTGTCAAAAAATACGCAGAAACATACCCCAAAATAGTCAACAAATCGTCCCCTGACTATTTGTTGACTGGTCTCGAATATTCCTCCTGTCGAAGGACATGCCCGACTTAATCATGGCCCAAAGTTCCCGTGGCTTTTCCCGCCCTTCTCGAGTCCACATGGCCCCCTGGGCCTCGTCAGAGGCGCTCTGGAACCATCGAGGCCTCCTGAAGACGCTTGGGTGCCTTGGGCCACGGCCATCTCCACAACCACCCGACCCTGGACGCGGCCCTTACCCATTCTTGGCATCCCTCATGCAAAAGGGCGGGGGTCTGAACTAGGCGACGCCCGTGTTCCCAAATCAGTGCTCGCACCTAGAGGTTCTCACTCTTCTCCTGAGGCTGTGGCTGAGACCAGCGAGGATGTACCCGCTCGCCGCCCGTTGCCGCCTCGTTGCCACATCGTGCGCTGGGCGGGTCTGGCGAGATTTCGCCCCACGTTGCCGCCCGTGGCCACCCCATTGCCGCCTCGTGCCCCGGGTGGGTCCCGCAAAAGTTCGCTTCGTTGCCGCCCGCTGCCGCCCGTTGCCGCTTTATTGCCACCTCTGGCTTGCATCACGCATACTGCACCAGCGAAGCGTACACCCACACAGCCTGGACATCCACAGAGCAGTGGATGAGCCTTTGGGGTCCATGCCGGCAAACATGTTGTTCAGTTCGGGTTGTGGTTTCTGCTAGTCTTAATGCGAGCCTTGTCCGCCTCCTCCATTTTCTGGCCTGGGTCAGAGAGCTGCCCGGGGAACGCGGCACCGGTGCTCCTCGTCACCCTCCTCGATGTAGCTCTCCAGGTTGTACCTGACGTGCTGCAGGTAGGAGCTGAAGGCCTTGTCTGCTTGTTTGGCGCCTGCTCGGCGAGTGCGGGGGGGCAACTATGAGCTGGTAGCCGAAGATAGGTGACCGACCTGTTCTGCGTGCCGCTGCACCCAACCAAACTCTCACTGCTAAATTCCAGGCCCGTTGCGAATTTCATGTTCGCATCACCGCAAATAACGCTTCTCAAAAGCATGCCCAACCGTACGGTGTTGTAAGATGCCATGCGCAAGCCCCAAACTCGCAACCACAACAATGGAAACGCATCACAACCGCGAAGGCTCCTTAGAATCCCCCCCAATAGGGAGTACCAAATGAATTGTTCGGCGGCCTTATTCACGGACTGGGGTCCCACCAATAAGGGGTGCCTAATTATTTGTTTCCCGCGGCACCCGCCGCGCAACAACGACGCCGAAAGCTACAACTAAGATTGTGACGACGATTACGACGACTGCCAGTACTTAGGAGAAAAATGAGGAAGACGAACAGGAGGAGGAGCAAGAGGAGGGGGAGAAGAATAATAGCAATAATAATGATCAGACGAAGAAGAAAGGGGAGCGGGGGGAGGAGGAGAGGGAGGTTTTAGGACTAGTCCGATTCACCGCTGAGAAAGAAGGGGGTGAGTCAAAAATAAGGGCCCTCGGCGGTTACATGCCCCAATAAAGAATATCTTGCAATCCAGCGATGCACACAGCGTCAATTCGCACGCCCAACGGACCAGAGGCGTGCCAAGATCCCATGCAACACGTCTAGAACGCCTTCTAGTTCGCGCGCCCAAGGCCGCCCAGCCTCCAAACGAACAGGGCCCCGAAAGAGTCCCGGCAAGGTGACCCCAAGCATGCCGGAACTCCCCGGGGTCCGGGCCCGCACGAGCTCCCAACGAAGGTCCAAGAGGGCACCGAATCGCTGAACGATCGGTCGAAGACACCCAAGATGGCCTTCAGTCGACCGAAGGAGCTCCCAAGACGTCCCAAGAGGCCCCCAAGAGCCTTCCAAAGCGGGTCCCGAAAGGCCAAAGAATTAGCTTCCCTTCAGCTGTCTCTGTGTTTGGGGGGCTCTCCACTTTTCGAGCTTCCGACGCTCCCAAGACGTCCCAAGAGGCCCCAATGAATGCCCCAAGACGGCCCCAGAGGCCCCCAAGAGGGCCCCAAGACGGCTCAAAATGCGCCCAAGACCGCCCAAGAGGGCTGGTGCCCAAGAGCGGAAACACGAACCGAAAATCCGAGCGATCTGCCCTAAGAGGCGCCCAGGAGGCCTCAACAGCCTGCCAAGAGGCCCAAAGCCTCCACCAAGAGGCCCCCGATGCTGCAGAACTACCTCTAGGAGGCCGCCGACAGGCCTCGACAAGATTCAGACGAACATCCAAGAGACCTCAGACGCACCACCCAGGCACAGTGGCGGGATGGGCGGAAAACCATCAGATCAGCAGCCCCCGGTTGGCTTGCCATAGTGGTGCCCACCGTGCTGAACATCAGGAAATGCCTGGTTCTTGTTGACCTCCCCCTGGGGCGTCGGGACAGCGCGCCACCCCGAGAGCGCGGTCGTGCCCAAAAAGTCACTCCAAGGCGGCCTAGATGGCCTCCTCCAAGATGGACAAAGATGGCCTCTCCGAAGTTCGCACAAGATGGTCTAAGATGGCCCCAAGACAGCCTGAGGGTCCACGATGTCTCCAAGTGCGCCCAAGAAACCACCAAGGCAACCCAAGGTGGCCCCCAGATGGCCCAAGACGGCCCAAGAGGCCACCAGGACAGCCCAAGATGGCTCCACGATGGCCCAGGACGGCCCAAGAGGCCACCAAGTGGACTCCGAGACGGCTCGAGAGGCCTCCAACAGGCCTCGCAGGGGCAGAAATCATTGACTTCCCATCGAGTTCCCCTGCATTTGTTCCTTGTCGGCCTCCCGACGGCTCGAGACGGCACAAGAGGTTTCCAAACTCGCCCCACAATCGCCCAAGAGGCCTCCAAGATGGCTCCAGAACGGCCCACGAGGCCCCAGCCCCAAGAGGGCCCCAAGACGACACAAGAGGCCTCCAAGGCGCCAGCGATGGCCTCCAAGACGGCCCTGAATCACTCCGTGAAGGGCCCAAGTCGCATGAGAGAGACCCCCGAGACGGCTTCCGACGGCGTCAGACGGGCCAGGAAGGCCCTGTGACGGCCTGTTCAAGGGTCGAATCGCCCCCCTGCATTTTGAAGGATTTTGTTTTGTGGGAGGCGGAACGCATCGTTTGCTTGCGTTTGGTATCGGCGTGGTATACCCGCTATGCTTTTCTTCGGCAATGCCTCCCACTCCTCTCTCACTCTCTCTCTTTCGTTCCGCCGCTGACCGCCCAAACTTCAGCCTAAGCAGAGCTCAGACCTCAGCCTAGCCCAGCTGAAGCTCCAACCGAAGTTTAGCCCAAGTCTAGCCTAAACCCCAGATTCAGCCTCTATCTAGAACAGGCTCTGCTTCTTCAGCCTGGCCTAAATCTGGCCTGAGCCTAAGCTTCAGCCTCGGCCTAGCCTAAGCTTTAGCCTAAGCGTTGCCGAAGACTGGCCCAAACCCAATCCTAACCCTAAGCTCCGGCCCCCGCGTGGCCTAAGCCTCAGCCTAAGCCAGACAAACCTAAGCTTCAGTCTAGCCTAAACAAGGCCTAAGCCTGACCCAGGCCTCAGCCTAAGCCTAAGCCTCAGCCTAAGCTACACCTCAGCCTAAGCCTAGCCTGAGCATCGTCCAAACCTCAGCCTGAGCTTCGGCGGACGCCTCAGCCTAAGCCAATCCCAAGCCTAGCCTAAGCCTCAGCTCAGCTTCGGCCTAAGCCTCAGCCTCAGCCTAAGATAAGCCCCGCCCTCAGCCTGAGCCTCGGCCTGAGCCTAACCTCTGCCAAAGCCTAGCCTGAGCCTCATACCTTCAATTGCTATCACAATACTAGGGTATTACGACTACATCATGACTACAACAATTATAATATCACAGTATTAGGGTACGACTACGCCTACAACGCAATTGCTAGTACACCAGCTCGACCATCTTAGAGTGATGCTACACCACTAAAGTGTTAAAAGACCGTGCTGTTCCCACAGACACCACACAATTAGTACGACTACTACTGCACCAACGCACGACTACGACTTTATAATATATTCGTACAATACTACTACAGCACTACGCTGCTAGGGCACGGCGGCCGTGCTTGAGTACTCCCATGTCAAAGCTCCATCAAGACTACTGCCAGTATTAGAGCAATACCAGTACAGTGCTAAAGTATCACGTATGCCATATTACTGCTGCAGTGTTGTATCACGGCTATGTGTTACAGCGTCTACTCCTACTGTTACAGCGTCGCCACTACAGCACTACATTATGATACTACCACAGCAGTTGTTTGTTTTGCCACGCTGCGGCAGTGGCGCATCCCTAATACAGTATTGCAGGCAATCGTTGGGTACTCCCTTACGCATCATACACTAGAGCACCGCGTCTACAGTGCCACTACTACACCAGTACATCACTGCTCCACAATAGTAAAAAAAAACGATCCCTACAGCACTACTACTGGCGCGTTCCAGTTCGGTGTAATGAATACTATATCCGAATACGACAGCAGTGGGTTAGCTATACTACAGCACTACAGTGCGACTACTAAACCCAGTGCTAGGGTATGATCTTCACTGCCAACCCTGAGTGCGACCTACTACTACTACTACTACTACTACTGCTGCTGCTGCTGCTGCTACTACTACTACTACTACGACTATTACTATTGCCACTACTACTACGACTACTACTACTACTGCTACAATTTCTTCTTCTATTATGTTGACCACTACTTCAATATCTACCACTACTACTACTACTACTACTACTACTACTACTACAACTACTACTACTACAACTACTACTACTACTACTGCTACTGCTACTGCTACTACTACTGTTACTACTACTACTACTACTACACCTCCTCCTCCTCCGACTACTACTACTACTACTACCACCACCACCACCACCACCACCACCACCACCACCACCACCACCACACCACCACACTTACTACTACTACTACTACTACTACTACTACTACTACTACTACTACTACTACTACTACTACTACTACTACTACTACTACTACTACTACTACTACTACTACTACTACTACTACTACTACTACTACTACTACTACTACTACTACTACTACTACTACTACTACTACTACTACTACGACTACGACTACGACTACTACTCCTGCTACTACTACTGATTGGATGACTACTGCGCTGCCACTTCACTGATACAATACTATTGTGGCTGGGCACGGCATTATAGTACCACTAGTACAGTCCTAGAGTAGCACGACTAGAGCACGATTGCTACAGTACCGTGCTACGATTATTGCAGCGCCACCGCTACAGCACTACAGTACCAGACTACTACAACAGCGCGGGGTGCGGCATTGGAGCACTCCTACTACAATAGTGTAGTACCTTCGCTGCAGGCAACGGTAGATTATTAGTATAGCGAGTACTGTACTGGAGTATCGTTCTACAGTGCCACTACTACAATAGCAGCACTGCTCCACAATAATGCAGCACTATTCCTACAGCACTCCTGCTGGTGCACATTTCGGCGGCAATACTGCTGTATTCGAGTATTACAGTAGTGGGGTACCTCTACTACAACACTACAGCGCGACTACTACAGCAAACACTGTAGGGTATGATCTTTCCTGCACGGCCTGAGCACTACTACAACTACAGCTACAGGACTGTTGCAGTGCTGCCACTTCGTTTATGCAATGCTACTACTGGCTGGGAACGGTATTAGAACAAAAAATGGTACTGCCCTCCGTTGCTCCCAAGGCACATGGGGGGAGGAGGGAAGGGGGGCGCGAGGAGAGGGAGGGGGGGGGCGTGGGAGGACAGGGCCCCTCCCTTCCCTCCCCGGTGCTGCTGGCGCCTGGGGGAGGGGGCGGGGAACAAACAAATGCTTTTTTGTTTTTCTCGCCCCCCCCCCACCCCAGGCGCCAGCAGCAACGGGGAGGCGTGGAGGAAGGCAGCGAGGTTCGCAAATCGAGCACACCACCACGCGGCCAACTTAGCTTCGCAAAGCGAGGTAGATAAACCAAACAAAAAACGCTGCGGAAAAAAAAGCAGGGCAAATTGGAAAAAAGGAGTTTCGCAGGGGGGTGATTCGACCCCGGAACCGAGACGGCCAGCGCGGCCCCCAAGGGCCCCTTACGAGGCCTCCAGGGGGCCCCTAGGAGGCTCCCAGGAGGTCCCAGGAGTGCCCCAAGAGGCTTCCCAGAATCCTTCCCCTCCTCTTTCTCTTCCTCCCTCTCCTCATCCTCCCCCTCACGTGAGCGTTTTTTATTCGACAGTTAGACATTGGGCGGAAGGGGAGGGGAGGGGGGAGGGTCTGGCTCCAGACCTCTGCTCAGTGCGACTGTTCGCAAGAGTGCGTCCTATGAGGGGGGCCTCCACCTGCTCGAAACAGGCGCCAACAAAAACAGCCACGATCTACTCCGTTGGGGGGGGGGCGAGGGCCCGCGCCGATCGGCAAAACAACAAATAAGAAAACGACGACCATCCTCCCAACCGCTGATTCCCGAAGGGTTTCCACCACGGCTGGGGGGAACACACAGTCCACACATAGGCGCCTCCAAAAGGCACGGGGCGGCGGCGATTCGCCGTAGGTGTCTTCGATGTGGACTGGCGAAAAAAGCGAAGCGATTCAATAAATCCTTACATGTCGTCACATGTTGACTCCTCCTCCTCCTCTTTATCTCCGCCTCTTCCTCCTCCTCCTTCTCCTCCTCCTTCTTCCCCTCCTGGTCGTCGTCGATGTCTTTCAGGGTCGGCGGCACCAGCCGCCAGGCCTTCACAATACATTTCGTCACATGTTGCAGGCGTACTTCGGGTGTCCCACGTGACAGAAGCAAATTCTGATAGGGCCTTCTTCCGTCTAATCCATCCCTGAGAACTCAAGAAAATGATCGCCTGCCTAGGCTAAAAGCGATGTCGAGTCTTGCATACCGCGCGGACGAAGACGAGGTCAAGGTCACGACATGTCCAAGACCAGACCAGTCGTTGGAATTGCGCTGTTCCTACACTCCATATCCTTCCTGCTGCACTGTTGCACAGGCACGGCGGCGGGCTTGCCGCAGGCAGCTGGGTAATTCTACAACATGTTCGCCTGCCCCAGGGAAACATCATGACGAGCCTTGATGGCAACCGAAGCTCTGAATGCTACTACGCCCCAACCCTACTGGAATAATACAAAAAACATAGACATGCTTGCACATCCGCAGACAGCATCTCCGCCCGCGTCGGACCCCCTCCCCACAACCCCTCCCCGGCGCACGGAGCGCCCGCAGGGGCGCCGCCCAGGGGTGCGGGTGGGCGGGTAGAGCGTCGGCCGAGAAGCCGTCCGCGGACGGGCGAGAATGTCAGTGCATGGCCCGTGTGACTACACAGTCGACTCGCACAGTGAAGATGAACGGCTTTCCAAGCATACCCTTGCATCCTTCCCCTTCGGCCCATCATTGGCCGCTGTCGCTGTCCGCACCACGCTCGCAAAGGGCCGACATGGCCTTCCGAGGCCCCTGCATCCATGTGGCATGTCGCGCGTCCTTACCACACGCGTTGACTGTCTGGCTCTCGATCCCCGCATCCAGACAGCGCGCCTGGCCTGACACGGCCGCCTCCTTCGTGGACTCTGCCAGCGCGTGCAGGTGGGGCCTTCGCTACACAGGGCGGGAGGTGGCACGCTGGACAAATTCGCCGATGCTGGATTTTATTCTCTGCCCAGCTCCACGTTCTCTGCACTCTACTCTCCACCACCTATCTCCTGGCCTACATTCTCTGCTCGCTAATATTGAACTCCTGTTATCTGATTGTGGTATGTTTGAGCCTTACCCTCAGCTCTCTACTCGTCATCCTCTGATCCCAACTTCCTACCCTCCGCTCTCTGCTCTCTGAGCGCTGCACTCAGCTACACGCCCGTCGGAAGTGGGTGTAAACTAGAGAGAGCGTGATCCACCGCCGCTTTACTGTGGAAAATTGCCGCCCTTTTCCTCCGGAACCCGGGGGTCCCCCCCCCCCTCCGAAAATCCCCCCCCCCTGCTGGAACCCCTCCACCCCCCCCCATCCCCCGGCAAAACCCCCCCCCCTCCCCTAATCCCCCCCCCCCTCGAGCTCGAAAACTGGGGGGGGGTCACTACCGGTTCGAACCCCCCCCCCCTTCGAAAACAGGAGGGGGGGGTCACTACCAGTTCGAACCACTGAGCTGTCCCACTGTTCCCACCGCTGTCCCCACTGTCCCTACCACTGTCCCCACTGTACCTCTGTCCCATTGTCCCACCGCCGACCTCGCCACCGCCTTCACCACTGTCCCCACCACCACTGTACCCTCCACTGTCCTACTGTTTCCACCACATTCCCAGTGTCCCCACACCACTGTCCCCACCACCACCGTCCCCACCACTGTCCCACTGTCCCCACTGTTCCCACCATTGTCCTCACCATTGTCCCCACCACTACCGTCCCCACCACTGTCCCACTGTCCCCACCACTGTCCCGCTGTCCCCTCACCACTGTCACACCACCACCGTCCCCACCACTGTCCGCACCCCTCCTCGGTTTTTGAGGGAGGGGGGGGGGTTCGAACCGGGAGTGACCCCCCCTCGGTTTTCGAGCTCGAGGGGGGGGGGGGTCGAAACGGTAGTGACCCCCCCCCCTTTTCATGATGAACTGGGGGGGGGGAGGTGTTCGAACTGGTAGTGACCCCCCCCAGTTTTCCGCTAGCAGCGGTAGATCACGCTCTTTCAAACATGATGAAGGAATCCGCTGGACATATGTTGGGTGGCCGCCCGCCCCCAAAGAGGGAGGAAACGAGAAAGCCACTCGACGACCGAAGCAGGAGGGCGCCTGAAGTAGATTGGCACCTGGGAGACCCAGAGCACGCACTCGAACCACCGATGCACCCTGCTGCGGGACCCTGCGATACTTACCCGAGGCTGGCGCCCACGGCCAGGCCTCCGTAGGCGCCGCACTATCTCCGAGAGGAGCGCGACCGGGGCGAGATCAGATCCTCGGCGGGGGCCCGGTGGGCGCCCGCAGGCTCCGGGGGCCTGCGGACCCGAAGGCAGAGCAGGCAGAAAGGCATTGTGCCACCAGGAGGGGCGCCGAGCACGGCAGGTTCGTGTCGTGTCGACCCCGGCGCTGTTCCCGGCACCGCGGGGACCGTTCAGCCTCGAACAACTGGTCGTTCCCGACACGTCAGGATCGTTCAACATCGACCGATTCTGGGGCGCCGCCGGCGTTCAACGTTGAACGCAGGCGGCGGAGACGACGCCGGTTGACACAACGCGAACCTACCGTGAGGAGCGAAGGAGCTCTTACAGTGCAGGCGCGGCCGCGAGAAACCCTCGCATGAAGCCGAGCCCTGAAGACCCGCGCGAGGGGTGCGACGGGGGTGGGCCCAGGGCGCCCTGAGCGCAGCAGCTTCTCCAACGGCCGCGGGAAGTCACCGCGCAGCGCGCGGAGCGAAGAAACCCGAGGTACCCTGACGAGAAGCATATTGACTTCCGAACTTTCTGAGAAAGCCTTCTCCTTCTCACTGCCCCCACCTCGCTCGCCGCCGATTCTTGACTTGCCTCCGAGGAGTCTGAATCAAAACCAATGGCCTGCGCCTTTTCGAATTCCTCTGCGCGCCATGAGGCCCGAAGAATAGCCCCAAGTTGGTCCACGAGAGCCCCAAGAGCCCCTGCAAAGCCCCCAAGAGGGCCCCAAAGACAACAAGCGCACCCCGTGAGAATCCCTCAAGTGTCGCATGAAGCTTTTCCTGGGGCTCCAAGGTAGGGGCCTTGTCGAGCGCCGCACTGTTGCTGGCCGTGATCTCCGGCGTGGCCCCAAGAAGGCCCCGAAGGCTCCCTGAGAGGGCCCAAGAGATGCCCACTCCCCCCGAAAAATACCAGCCCACAAAAGTTTCAATATGGCTACCAGATATCTGCAAAAACCCTTCACATGGCCCCAAGTTGGTGACTTTTTAGCTGCTCCAGTGACAGGGGAGTCGCAGGAAGGAAGAGCGGCTGCCACGCATCAAAAAGTCTCGCCCCTGCACTGGGCAGGCCCCGATTCGAAGAAAGTCTCCCTCACGATGTGTTGGGCACTGCTCGATCTTCTAGCCGAACCTATGGCAAAACCAGCTGCGACACAGTACGCCAGAGGCGCAAAATCCAGGAAACGCATCCGTGGTGATGCTGTTTGTTCTCGCGAAGCACTGAGATCAGGGCCGGGCCCCTCCAGATCGGCCTTGGGCCGGCGATTACAGGACGCCCGCTGCACACCTGCACATCCGCACTCTGGCCAGGGCCGATGCGCCCAGACCTCCACCCGATGGATCCATCGGTCCTCGGGCCCCGAAGTCCTGACCGCTAGCCCGCGGGCAAATTCTTGCTCAGGATGCCGTGTCTGATGCCCCGTGTGCCCCGAAAATTGCCCCGCCCCATGGGCCAAGACTGAGGGACAACGTAGCGATTGGGGTTGGCGCGGTATCGACTCCTTCCCTACGACCAACGTCTCATCCCGAGTCGTTTTCTGTCCCAGGGCACGCTGAGGTCCCCCGGAGCCGAAAACGATGCTTCCCGTTCACGATGCTCCACGACGCGATGCTCCCCGAACTGTCAAGAACCTCCCGTCGCGATGCTTCACGACACGAGGGGGTTCGGGCTCGCGGCTCAAACCTTGACCACCAGACATGTCCAGCGGCGCGTTATGGCCAGGAAGTGGGTCCAGCCGTGGCGACGAGAGGCCTCCACTGCAGGAAGGACTAGAAGCGATCCTTGAACTTGGAGGCGGCCAGGGGGTCTGGACTGGATGGGCCCCGAGAGAATCGGTGGGGAAGGATGGATCCACTCAGAATCGGACCTCTCCAGGGATCCATCTGAGGTCCATCTGGTGCAACTGTTCACCCTGGATCCGTGTTTTGGACGGTCCCGGGACCCCCCGAAATCGAAAAAGGCAAACAGTCCTCTCGAATCCAGAGCCTCGAACCTCGCCTCTCCCCTTCCTGCCCGCCAGGACCAATGCTGGGCCACACCTCAGCCCCCCCAGCTGGCTCCAACTCTGAACCTCGGCCCCGAGGCGCGCGCTCCGACCTCCGCGTCGGCGGCCTCCGCGGAGGCCCTCACGGCCCCGTCCGTGACCCCAGAAAAAGGGAGCCGAAGCGCGCAGAAACATACGACTTTGACCCTCGACCTTCGACCCTCGCCCTCCTCGTCCCCCTCTTCGCCCTCCTCCTCCTCCTCCCTCGTCGTCGTCCTCCAAGTCCTCCTCCTCCTCCTCCTCGTCCGCGACGTCTTCCTCCTCGTCCTCCTCGCCCTCCTCTTCGCCCTCCTCCTCCTCCTCCTCCTCCTCCTCGTCGTCGTCCTCGTCGTCGTCCTCCAACTCCTCCTCCTCCTCCTCCTCCTCCTCCTCCTCGTCCGCGACGTCTTCCTCCTCGTCCTCCTCGCCCTCCTCTTCGCCCTCCTCCTCCTCCTCCTCCTCGACGTCGTCCTCGTCGTCGTCCTCCAACTCCTCCTCCTCCTTCTCCTCCTCCTCCTCCTCGTCCGCGACGTCTTCCTCCTCGTCCTCCTCGCCATCCTCTTCGCCCTCCTCCTCCTCCTCCTCCCCCTGTCTTCCTCGTCCTCCTCCTCCTCGTCCCCTCGCCCTCCTCTTCGCCCTCCTTTTCGCCCTCCTCTTCACCCTCCTCCTCCTCCTCCTTCGCCCTCCTCCTCCCCCTCCTCCTTGGTCGAGCGAGTGCGCGCCCCGCCCGCGGCAGAGCCGCGGCTGCTGCCTCGCCCGCTCCGCCAGCGCGGCCGTGCCGCTCAGCGCCGCGCGGCCAGCGCGCGCCGTGGCGCCGAGCGCCGCCTCTTCGCACGCGCGCGCGGTGCGGATCGATCGTGTTCCTCCATCCCCACCCCCTCCTCCTCCTCCTCCTCCTCCTCCTCCTCCGCCTCCTCCTCCTCCTCCTCCCCTCCTCCTCCTCCTCCGCCTCCTCCTCCCTCCTCCTCCTCCTCCTCCTCCTCCTCCTCCTCCTCCTCCTCCTCCTCCTCCTCCTCCTCCTAGGCGGATCACGCGCGCAGTGCGGTGAGGCTCCTGGAGGCTGTTCTTGAATTGTTCGGCGATGCCCTGGGCTGTCTGGTGGGAGGACGGGGGGGGGGTAATCCCGTGTGGAGTGGGTGGGTGGGGGGGGGGGCATGCGCTGCGTTGTCCGGTGACCGGCGGGGCTCGAGGACCCTGGAAGGAGACAAGACAAGGGAACTACATACATGATGATCCAAAGAAGAACTGCTAACCCTTTGGGAGGGGACCTAATTCAGGTAGGAGGGCCAACACATTAGGGATAGGAAGTCTTTCCTGCTGACGTATCAGACCAAGCCGCCCAGATTATCCCTGATGCGAAACCGGGGACCTCAGTGAGGCCGCGTTTTCATCATGCTATTAGAATTTGGGGGTTGTTTTTGTGCTCGATGAATCGACTTTGAACGGTCCGCGCGAAATCCCACCAGCTCTTCCACCCCTCCTTCTTCCCCTTCGGAGAGGGGTTTACCCCTCCCCCTACCCCTCCCCACTGACCTGGACAGGGGGGGCGGGGAGCGGTCAGAGCGTCCAAAACGGCCTCGCCGAGGAAGCCAAAATCATTGATTTTACTAAGCTAAGGTGTTGGCCCCATTTTGGCCCCCAGAGGGGGCAGCACTAATTGAAGCTCCCCTCTTCTTTGATCGATTTCCTCCAAGATGGCCCCAAGAAGCGCCCAGGAGGCACCAAGAGGCCCCAAGATTGCCCCAAGATGGCCCCAATAGGCCCCCAGGAGGCCCTCAAGAGGATCCCAGACGGCCCAAAGAGGCCCCCCCGAGGCACCCAAGACGCCGAAAAGCCCCTCAGGACGACCCTCTACTCGCCTGGGCGTCGTTTCTCGACGGGCTGGTGGGGATACGCGAGGCGTCTAGAAGTCTTGGGTCTGCGCGGGACCCCCCCTTTGACGGCATCTCCAGCGCCGCTCTGGGCGCGCTCCTGGTGCGCCAGGAGAGGCGGTCCAGCGCACATCCAAGCAGTCGCCGCGGGCCGTGGAGCATGTGCAGCTGTACCACGGAGGCCAATCCACAAGAAACCTTCCACCAGAAACCCAACCGTGAGACCTCAGGACGTCCATTGATTTCTGGTGTGGGCACGTCACGGCTCCCACAGCAAAAAATCACCGAAGCTCAAGAAACCAGGGGCACCCTGGAGGCAAGCAGGGTGCTTCTTGGCGTCCGTCTCCGCTGTAGGCTTGTGCCCTCGCTCCTTCTCCGAGATCCTGGAGACCGCCACTATGTCTCTGCGATTGCCAGCGCTATCCGGTGGGGGGGGGAAATGGAGGCCGAGAACCCAACTGACTACCTACCAGACCACCCCAACCCAACCCGAAGACCCGAATTTCGGGTTGGGGGGGGTACGGGTTCCATATGTGTTTTCTCGATGTTCCCCGACCCCCCCCAACTGGAAATGGAGGGCAAATCGAGACCTTCGGGTTGGGTTGGGGTGGGTTGGTGGGTGGAGCCCAACTGATCCGCCTGGGGCAGCCCCACGTGTGCTGGCGCGCAGCAGCACTGCGCACCCCGTCGGACCTGCGCAGCCGACAGCGTCAGGCTATCCGAGGGGGCAGGCGGGCCCGATGCCCCGGGCGATCGCCAGACCCCAGGACAGACAGTCTGTTTGACGAGAGGACGACACACACACACACTCAGACATATAAGGGGGGGGGGAAACAAGACAACAAGACACCCGCGTCGCGCCGAGCCGTGCTCCGTGGCGGAGTGGGTTGACAGCGCTGCAGCGCTCCGAGGTAGAACGTGGCAAACCTGCTTCCGATCGAGATAACCCTCCCAGGCCAACATAAGTCATGTTTCCAACGCCGTATAATGGGACATGGCAAGGAGGGTACGGAGATGAGGGCGCTATAACTATGGACGCAACTTGTCGGGGCCTCGAAGGGGCTCGAAGGGGCCTCGAGGGACCCCAATCCGACAAGGTACTTCCCCAGCCCCACTGCGGGGTCCATCCCAAGAGATCGAAGGGTCGCATCGATATGGGTGTTTGTGGTAGAATCAAGTTCGCGCCTGCCCACCCGCCTCTTTCGTCCCGCCAGCACTGGCATCCCGCCTGCGCGTTTGCCGCCGTCTGCCGTTTGCCTTTCGTTCCCTTTCTTCTCCTCAATCGCCGCGCAACAGAGACTGCACATAGCGCCCCCCCCCTTCGAGAATCGAGGTTTGACAATCAGCGTTATGGAACTAACCACATGCAGGAGTGTTGGCTAGGAGACTCGGTGGCACTTGATCGGCCCCCCAAGCAATTAAACACTTATCCGGGACGCAAAGCTTGCCCCGGGGGAAGGGGTCGGGACCTCTGAGGCCGTGCTTATTCAGACATCATATCGTCGGATGTCTGGCATTCGAAAGCAGACTCGAAGCTCGAAGTGCTCCATGGCTGCTGGCCGTCGGGGGGCCTCCGAGGGCCTCGGGGGTCGAGGCCCGAGACCCGTCGGCGCAGAGCGCAGGCTGCCGGGAGCTGGCGGCGTCCCCGGAGCCGAGGTCCGAGGTCCGAGGTCCGGCCGATGCCGGCCTGCGCACTACACATCCGCCACCGCGCCTGCTGCGGTTGGTGTGCACTGGGCACTTTCGCTTGTCGCGGAGCGAGGATCAGGCCCCCCTCAAGCCTGGAGCCCGAAAGATGCGCTGATTTCTGTGACCAGATCCTGGGGCCCCCGAATGCAAAGCCTGGGCCCCCATCCCCCCCCCGAAGGCCCTCCCACCACCCGCGCCCACCCGAGCGACGTGGCCGAATCGCGCGGCAGCACCTGGAAATGGAAACAGGACCAGTATGAGCATCTTGTCTTATGCGCCTGAATTTGGGCCGCGGCGAACATGAAGGCAATACCATAGCTCACGCCGTTGCGGATGAGACTGGGGAAAAGCAGGGGGGGACGTCGATAGTCTGCGAGGCTCCACTGCAAATGTAAAGAACACCCCGCAGGTGCCGATCCTATACAATTGCACAACGAGCTTGACGAAGGCGCTGCTTCTTTCACCACAGCGATGTGGGTGATGGGTCGCGAGTGGATCGCAGGTGGATCGCGGGTGTTGCGGATAGGTCGCGGGCATGTCGCGGGTGTGTCGGAGGCGGGTCGCGGGCAAGGACAATGACAATAACAAGTCAACGACACTGGCCGCAAGCTCCATCCAACCCTGCGGCCCCTACAGGGGGGTACGGGCCCTTGCTGGAGGCCCCATGGCGCGACGAAAGCGATCTTTCAACATGGCTCATTGAACATCGATCATGGATCCTACTTAGGTGCAATTTCTGTGGCGCCCTTCGATGCACGGTGAGCAGTCCCACATCGCGCGCCCCAACCTCCGCGAGAATTGGCGGCTACAGCGGGGGCCTTCGGAGGGCCTAGGTGGCCCAGGAAGCAGTCAAAACGAGCAAAATGAGTGGACCTCAATCCTCGAACATCGATCATCGACCTTCTCCTCCTCTTCCTCCTCCTTCTCCATCTACGCATCCTCCTCCTCCTTCTCATCCTCCTCGTCCTCCTCATCCTCCTCCTCGACCTCCTCCTCCGACTCACCCTCATCTTCTTCCTCCTCCTCCTCCTCCTCCTCCTCCTGCTCCTCCTCCTCCTCCCCGTCCTCATCCTCGAACTTGCCAGGGTCGCGGGGAGATGGCAACCGCGGGGTCCAGTGGCCGAGGGCGGAGCGGCACCCCGAAATGGAAGGGGTCGAAAACACATGATGCGGTGCCCAGCGCATGATGGGGAGGCCAGCTCAGACGGGAGAAAGGATCGACCTGGAATCGGGGATAGATCGGCGGTAGGCAACGATAGGGGGGGGGCCTAGGCCAGGAGAACGTCCTTCAAGAACATGCGACCCCCCGCCGGCCCAAGCACCCAAAACCCTAAGATCATCCGAGGGTACCCTGCCCAAGGATGCACAGGAACACCCAAAACAAGCACGAGGAACATTAGGGTACCCTCCCCAAGCTGACCTCGATCTTACACCTCGGTCCGACTGTGGGGTGGAGGGGGCAGCTCAGGGGGGAAAGGAATCGGCGATGCATCGAAGACCGATCGGCGAAAGGCCCCCGATGGCGAATCCGCACGATAGGAGGCGGGGGAGGACCATTCGGCCCCTGTCGGTGATGAATGGGCGATTACGAATCGACGCGCCCCCTCTCGAGTCCACCCCCCCTACGCCACGAAGACACATACACAGACACCCTCCGACGAATGTTGCGTGTACCTCAGTCGCTGGCTCCCAGTGGTGCTTTATGCACCGCCACCCTCCCCGGAGGCCCCGGAATTATCCCTTGGAGGGTGTCTGCGAATATATTTGCGCGGGTGGCCCCCGATCGTTGCCTCTGAGCCAGCCAATGCTTGTCCAAAGCTGGCAGCTGCCGCTGCCGGGCAGGCGACCTTCCGCCTCCATGTGGACAACGTCCGCGGCGGCCCTGACTGCGAGCCCCGTGCAGCGTGGGCAGGAGCAGCTGCTGGTCGTCATCCCAATCGTTTGCGCACGTGCAGGCAGCCCGTATGAGAAGGATGCACGATAAGGATGCAGCGGCCGTGGAAGGCCATGTCGACACTGTGCGAGCGGGGCGTGACCAGGCGGAAGCGGCCGAGGAAGAGCCAAAAGGGGAAGGATGCAGGGGTACCCCTGGACACACAGTGCAAACTTACTACGCGGGTCGACTGTGCTCCAAGTCTCACAATAGCGGGGGGGTGGGTAAAAAAGTGTTTGGCAGCGCGTCTGTGTCGCCCCCCCCGGACAGGGCGGTGCAACCACATCAAAATCCAGAATCACCAAGAAGCAGCGTCTGACATTTCAATCTAGACCCCCCCAAAGAGAGGCGTCTGGGCAGAATTTGTTGGATCCCCCCCTCGCGCACATGAAAACGACGACGACATTTACGACGACGAAAAATACGACGATACCGACGACGACCACCACCACGACACCGACGATGACGACGACGCCGACGACGACGAAAATATTCAAATGATGAGAACGGCTATGAGAATAATGTAGCGACAATGGTGATCGCGAGCCGACGGTGCAAACCAGATCTAGATGATCAACTGCAACACCGCAGATTTCAGCACATGACAAGGACGTCGACACCGACGACGACGACGACTCCGACGAACATGGCACTGACACCGACGACACGTTCATACTGATTGGTGTTTGCTGTATCAGTTGTCACCCTCGTTCAAATCCGCATCACCATAATGCGGACCACCACTAACATCACTATCATGAACAATACCACGGTATTGTTCCCTGATTGTTATATGCTGAAATATTAGGCATTGCGCTTGATCATCCACATCTGGTTGATACCACCAACTCGTCATCACCATCGCCGTTACAGTAGCCTCATAACCATCCTCATCATCGAAGTGTGTTCGCCGTCGTCGGCATCGTCGGTGTCGTCGTCGTCAGTGCTGGCGTTATCGTTGGTGTCGTCGTTGTTATCGTGGGTGGCGTCGTCGTCGTCGTCAGTGTCATCGTCGTCCTCGATTTCATCGTCGTCGTTGTCGTCTGTGTCGTTATCGTCAGTGCCATCGTCGTCCTCTTCGTCGTCGTTCGCGTCGTCGTCTTCTTCGGAGTACTCGTCGTCGGGGGGGTCGTCGTCGTCATGGGCGCGGTCGTCGTCGGTGTCGTCGTCAGCGTCGCCAGGGAGCTGGCGACTGGAAGGGAGCTGGACATTCCCAAATCAGATCAGGCATCGACAAGCTGTAGACCCCCCCAACAGGTTCGCATGCCAACTCGTTGGAGACTCCCCCAGAGAGAAACAACAGAGGTTCAAAAATCGAGACCCCCCACACAACTTGTTAGACCAGAGGGCTCCTAGATGGGGTCGTAGGTCGGGGGATCGCGAGGCATCGCCGATACATCGGCGATGCATCTCCAGTGCATCGGCGATGCACTTGCGATGCATCGCCGACGTGGGCGATGCATCGGCGACGTCGACGTGAAGCGAATCGGGCTCCACATGGAGCGGCATCGGCGATGCGTCGGCGATGCGGCGCGATCCTCCGGCCACATCCACTTCGACCCCATCTAGGAGGCCTAGATTGAAGAGGTCCGCTACACCCCTATAACGTTAGGTCGGGCATGTCCCCCTACAGGCGGATTGTGGACGAAACATGAAATAATGCTCCAAAATGGTCTTAAAATAATCGAACACTCGTCCCCAGATTAGTTGCTTACTATTTGTGAATACTCCTCCTGTAGAGGGCGTGCCCGACTTCACGCTAGACCCCTGCAACAAAAAGACTCCCCCCACATAGTGATGACACTTGGAGCACCCATGTCGGTCCCCGTGATCGAGCCTGGACGCCTCGATCCTCGATATCCTCCCCTCCTGCTCCTCCTCCTCCTCCTCCTCGATACTCGATTCTCCTCCTCCTCCTCCTCCTCGATCCTCGATGCTGCTCCTCGACCCTGGATGTCGTCCTCGACCCTCCACGATCCTGGATACCGTCCTCGTCGATCCTGGATCCCGTCCTCCTCCTCGCCCTCCACGCTCCTCGCACCTCGACGCCCTCGACCCTGCCCGGTAACCCTGGGAAGACCAAGAGGTAGCCATACCGCTACTCCCCGGACCTCTCCCCTGGGGTGCGTTCTGACCAGGATTCCGAGGCGAATGCAGCGGTGGCGACGAGGGCCTCCCACGAGGCCCAAAACGGCGAAAGCGAGGGAAGGGTAGCGGTACCTTTCCCTCCTCCGACATGTTGAGCAGGGACCGACCGTCCCGGCATCCTTACAGGACCACCACGACGTGTTCGTAAACCCGATAATGTTCGAAGAACCAAACAACTTCTTAGAACAGAAACCCGATGCGTACATAAAAACAAGACAGCCTCAGCCAGAACTGCTTTAAGGACATCGCGCGCAAACCACAACAGGTTCTGAAAGCATTATCTGGTGGGCCTGTCGGCAAGCCGTGACGCTTCGCCACTGCTTGGAAATGGCCCAGGGCCCAAGGCCGCGCTGACGGCGATGTTGGTCAACGGCGATGTTGGGAATCCAACTTTTGTGACGCCGAGCTCGCGCGGAAATCACGAACCATACTTTCCCACAGTTCAGCTGTGCGAAAGCATCGAGCGAAAACGACGCAGCGAATTGCAGGAAAGCACGAACCACGATACCCTGCAATTGGTTTGGCCACGAACCAGGCACACCTAACAATGCCGAAACCTACATCGCCGTTACCTCCATCGCCGTTAGCGCGTCTACGGATGGTGCGTGAGCCTGCCATTTATTTCCTGCCACGCTAACTGCACTGGTGTTGCTGCTCAGAAGGCTCCAAGAGCGTGTGCAATAGGTCGCTGCTCAACCGGCTGACGAAGAAGCATGGCCGAATGTATTGCGGCAGCGGTACGTCCCTGACGTGCTCCAGATACGGGAAATAGCAAAGGAGGAGGGAGAAGCAGGTAGCGACGCCTATGAGGGTCGGGCGATGGAGGACTGGGGGGATACCGTTACCTATATCGCAGTTAGCGCGTCTACGGAGGGCAGAACGCCCGCCTGCCCGGCCAGGCCCGTCACTTCAAGCAGCTGCTCCGCGGTCGTCGCGCGCGCGAGCTGCGGCCGCGGCGGCCCAGCGGCCGGCCCGGGCAGCGGCTCGCTGGTCGCCCGCGTCAGCTGGGCGCGCCGCTGTGCGCCGCCGTCCGCGACGAAGACGACGAGGAAGACGACGACGACGACGACGACGACGACGACGGCGGCGGCGGCGGCGGCGGTGACGACGACGACGAGGAGGACGAAGACGAGGACGACGACGAGGACGGCGACGAGGACGGCGACGAGGACGGCGACGAGGACGGCGACGAGGATGACGACGACGACGACGAGGACGGCGACGAGGACGGCGGACGCGGCGGCGGCGGCGGACGCGGCGGCGGCGGCGGCGTCGACAAGGACGGCGACGACGCGGGCGACGACGTCGGCGGCGGCGTCGACGACGGACGGCGACGGCACGGCGACGGCGACGCTGCCGTCGCCGTCGCCGTCGCCTCCGCGTCGCCGCCCGCGTCCCCAGATCACCCACGATGTGTAGTTTTTGTCCATACGGGCGTTCAGCCAGAGGCCTCCGAAGTTCTCGTGAGAATTCCAGAGACCTACTTTCTTCCTTCCTGCGACGGCACGGCGACGCCGCCCCTGCCGCCACAATTGTCGTCGTCGCCGTCCGCCGCCTGCGCCGTCGCCGCCGCCGCCAGCAATGTCGCCATCGTTCCCCCCCCCCTCGAGGGGAGCAAAAGACCACCCCTACCCCCACGTGGACCCCCCCTCCCCAGAGCGGGGTAGGGTGGGCCAGGTGGCGGTGGGGTGCT